TCCAAGGCCCTCCCCCTGCCGCTGCTCGGGTGCCGGCCCCTGGCTCCCTCCCCCCGACGCGATTCCGGAGCAAAACAAGGCCGGGGAGGGAGCTCTCCGAGGTGCTGAGCCGGGGCCGTCACCCCCCTCCCCTAGCCACTCGCCTCCCCCGCCAGTGACGTCAGGACCCTCGGGCCCCGCCCCCTGGCAGGCCGGGGACCAATCCGCAGAGGGTGCAGGATTTAGGGGGGAGGGGAGAGGGCCAGGGCCCTAGGGAGAGCGAAGGGGGTCCCCGGAAGAGGCAGCGAAAGGAAGGAGTAAGAAGAGGTAATCTGGCCTGTTCTCCACCCCCACACCCAGAGCCCGGGACCCCTCTCTTCACGTCTTTGAGTTCCGACACCTCTCCTCCCCAGTTTCCGATCTGTGATCTTTGGTGTCTATCTCAGATTTCTTCCCTTGCTGCCTGGGAATGGAGGTTCTCACCTCTAGTACCCTCATCCCAGCCCCACCCCTTCAGTATCGGCCTTTCCCTCGAGGCCAAGGCCAGGTCTGCGTGCAGAGAGCTCAGGTGGCCCTATACTGCTAACCCAGGAGGGCAAGGAGCAGTCAGAGAGACTGCGAATCTGTCTGCGCCTGGACTCGACTTGCCTGCACTAGCCTGTGTAATCAACCACTCCTAGGGTGGGGGATGGGAATCCAGAATCAGCCGGAGGAGCCCAGAGCCTGGGACCACTCAGGACAGTGAGTAGAGAGTAGAGTGGCAGCTAGGGGCCTGGGCTCTGAGGAGGTTCCCAGCAGTAGAGCTGGTGCCACAGTGGCCTGCTTCCCCTCGGAATCCTGCCTCCTCATACCACCCCAGGGGCAGCTGGCTTTAGGGTTAACCCCTTGGCTGCCAGAATTGCTATGCGGTGCCATTACCCTCTCTGCAAAGGCCAGGAGGGCCCCACAAAGCTAGTTGCATCTTTTATCAAAAGGTGGGAGAACAGGAGGCGCAGTCTGGCTTCCCTGCTGCCCTTTGCCTCCCAGTTGCTCTCTTACATCCCTGCTCCCCCACCTTTCCATAAAAGAACATTCCCCGAGTCAACCTGTTCTCTTTTCATTCTCCAATTCAACATGTTCTCTTTCACCCACTGAAATCCCCAGCTTCCGCAGAAAGCCTTTCTGTGTTGATTAACGGGGCTCCACCCAATGTCTATGTCTGACCTCAAGGATGTCCATTCCAGGGTTCAGCTCATATCTATTCACCAACTGTGCCTACCTACTAGATTTACTCTACTCTGCTAGTGGGCAATCAATATCTCCACATTGATGTAAATGTACACTCACAACTGACTATGACCAGCAGGTAGGGACCCCATTTTAATACAAACAGAGGAGGAGGAGATTAAAGACCCAACCCTGGTCTGACTCTCCAGGGGCTGAGGAGGTCCTGATTCCTTGCTGGGATTTCATGCTCACTTAGCCTCGGCCTCAATTTTTGGCTTCTGGGACCTCAAATTTAGTCTTTTTAGTCCCTCTTTTGCCTTTTCGCCCTTGCTTCACCTCTAGAAGCCCTACTTAGTATCCTTCTCCCTCCAGACCCATAGCCAGTGACAATCATGATGTTCCTTTGTTTTTCAATTGCAAGATGTATCTTATGCACAAAAGAGCACATAAAACACAAACGAGCAGTTTAAAGAATATGAACACAGCAAACACCTGTGTCATAACCTCAAAGATCAAGAAATAGAACATTATCAATACCCCAGGACCTCCCCGTGCTTTCCCCAGATCTCATCTTCATCCATCCCCCAAGAGATAACCACTATTCTGACTTTTGTGATAACCATTTCTTTGCTTCATAGTTTCATCACCTGTGTGTTCATGAAGAAAATATATAGTTTAATGTTGCCCGTGTTTAAATTTTGTAGAAATAGAGTCATACGGTATGAATTCAGTTGTGATTTGCTTCTTACAATATTATGTTAGGGAGATGCGTTTTGTATATTATTCCAATGTAGTATGTCTTACCATGTAATCTATTCTACCACTGAGGGTAACTTTGTGTATCAGATAGGGCCTAATCAGAATATAGGAACCACATTATATATTTTAAGTAGAGGAGATTTAATACAGGGAATTGGTTACATGGGAGTTGGAAAACTAAAAGAGCAAAAAAGAGAAAGAACACAGATATAGTGGAACTAGTAACTAAAGGAAGCAGCAAGGACCAAGGGAACACAAGGGAAGAGTGAGATTACTACACCCTAGGAGCCCAGGTGGGGCCCTGCGGAGCTGGGGCTCAGATGCAGGCAGAGCCACCAGGGGCTGCTACTCACTCCTCAGAGGAACCATCTGCAAAGCTAGTTTTGGGAATGTAGAAAGGAGCTGATGGCCGGAGTCAACTTCCAATGATAGAGTGACTCTGAAGAACCTCCCCCCCAGCCCCGCCCCTGCCAAAAAAAAAAAAAAAAAAGAGAAGGTAGTCCCGTCTCTATTTGTCTTTCATCTTCCTCTAGTACCTCCTATTAGCAGAACCTAACAGAAAGCCAGTTAATAATGGAGTCTGGGAAACAAGTTTGCAAAGTCCCAACCCCATCCAGCAACAGAGAGCAGAGACATAAAGAATGGATTAGGAACAGAAAGGCAATAAATAAATAACCGACACAGTCATCCTCTTTTTCTGCTCAGCATTTACACACAACTTTCTATACATATTTGAACAGTAACAATTTCGTGACTGCCTAACAAGATACAGTTGTCCTTCACACAAGGATACTTTGGTGCCCTTCCCCAAAAGTGGAGATGTAAAGTCTCTCCAGTAACAGTGTCCATCTCTGGGTGATGCGGATACCTCTCCTAATTCAGCCACATTTCCTCTAGAAGATTCTGTAACCTAAAGACTAAATTATAAAGTTCTCTACCAACAGCAATCCTAATATATAATAAGGGAAAGAAAGGAGAAAGAAATCAGTACAGAGAGTATACAATACAAAACAAGCAAGAAATAAAATACCCATGGCTTCTACAATCCTTATTTCTGCAACTAGAAGTTGATATTTATAACTTTCTTTTTCCATTACTCATTTCATTTTCACTTTGCCCTTAGCCAGTATCTGTTTGCTGGCTGTTCCGTTTTTTTGTTTGTTTGTTTATTTGTTCGTTTGTTTTTTTAAACCAGGTCAGGTGAACAAACGTTCATTCTTCAAGAATCTAAATCCTCAAAATTGAGTTGCTACTATTTTGTTTTAACTTTTACTATTGGATATTGAAGAAGGAAGAGGCACACTGGGGAATCTCGTGGGTTCTAGACATAGTGCTCCCTAATTTCATGGTGTAGCTGCAACCCAGTTTCCCCTTGGTATTTGGGATCAGCTGCCCCAGAAGGTAACCTCTTTCTTTGTTCTGGTGAGAGTCTTAATTTCTAGTCTAATGGAATCATTGTTATATCTAGTGAAAAGATTCCTCTCTTGGTGTAGCAGGATTATATACTTAAAGACCCAGCAAGTCAGGGCCCTGACAGAGAAGTAGGAACCTGAGACCTGGTATGGGATCATCTGTTCTGGAACCCCCAGATTTTCCTGAATCTTTTGGGCCAGCAGAAGTGGCCTCTCCTCTTTAGTAGAAGAGAGCAGACTCTCCTTGCCTGGATACCATGCAAAGTCCTCACCTGGGGTAGATGCTTCACAAGATGATACTTGTCTGCTTCAAGATCTGACCCCAATTCCCTCCATGATTCTAGACCAATAACTATGGTCAAGTATCACCATGGACCAAGTGGGGAAGTACAATCTCAGCTATGGGAAGAAAATGATTATTCACTGAAAGAACTTTAGGATCTTGCTATCATGTAGCAGCAGAAAGTGAGAGGACATGTTTGCAAACAGATCTTGAGGGTGTTGGACTGGGGTCTGGGAATGGAATATAAAGCTGGATAATGGAGAGTTTATCGATCTGGGATACTCTACTGTGACTGAGGATTTAACATGTTTTTTTAAATGTGAATGAGAGGGTTTAACATTTTTATGGCTTGGCAAAGACATCTGAATCCAGTTGCAATATGCTCCTGGAATAACTCTTCAACATCTAGGGAAAACTGTGCATTACAGCAAATGAGGTGGAAATGCTAGAACTTTCTTGACAGAGTTCTGAAGAAGGGATCAAAAAGCTCAGGGGGATGGGCACACCAGAATAAAATTATTATTATATATGACCAGAGAACCCTCCAGCTTACTGTGTTCTTCATGAGAGCTCAGAGAGCGTTCCTTCAATAAAGGGATAAAAAATGTGCTAGTTGGTAGGGGGTCCCTGGCACTGTTTGCAGCTGGGTAGTGGCTCTCCTCTGCAGGTCAAAGTTGATGGTAGCCGAAAATTCTATGGAACTGGGCTTCCTAGAGTCAGTGGGTGTGACAGGAGCCCAGAACAGAAGCCAGGTAACTTAGTCATCAGAGTCGAGGTGGACACAATTACTGTAAAGGGCACAATGACCAAATGGCATGCTAGAATCTAGTGTGATGGCCAATAGACCATGGTCTCTTCCTAGGGAGGTGGACAGCCAATTAGGGCATTTCTTGACTTACATAGCCAAAAACGAGCAAGAATGAGTGATCAGAAGGCTAATGTCAACCACTGCAAAGGAAAATAATGACCCCTCACCCAATTTCTAGACTGAAATAATTTTTTTGGCTACAGAGCCCATTGATTGAAGGGTAGGCCAATTTCCTTCAGGAAGAATCCTGCAATGCCACGGCAAGCTTATATCACAGTCATTATCTCACTCCTCCCCCAAACATAATCACAGCCATTTATGAGAGTGACCATACACTGGGAAAGATGGGGGAATACTCAGCTCTTTCAAGGCTTTTGGATGCAGGGTCTGAGCTGACACTGATACTTGGGGACCAAAATGCCATTAAGAACATATAT